CGTTCGCAGGAGGTCCGAAATCTGCTTTACCAACATTCTGGCGGATATCAGAACCAAACGACGAAAGTCATTCAGCCGATTAACAGTCGATCTCCAGAGCAGATTGTACTTGATTCAGAATCAAAGTTCTCCTCCGGATATGTCTGTTCGAGAAATGAGGATTTCACGGAAACCGTTGCTTACGAGCAGTCGGAGTCAAATTACTTGGAATCTTATGGAATCCCAGCAGAGGTAAGTGAAACTGTAATAGCTTGTGTTGTTTTTTGTTCTAAGTACTCCAAGAGTATAAGATGCTGCTTTAATGGTGGCAACTACATGTAACAACCGATCATGTGTATTGGATTGAAAACCTCCGCTACCTTGATATATGTTCAAGTTTATTTTTTGGATTCCAGCCAGGTTTTCTATCCTTTTTCATATTACACAGATTGGTAGCAGCCGTCTTTCGGTTGGATATTCACCGAACGTCATTTATAACTTTATAACTGTAGATTTTAAAAACCGTGTTCTTGTTTATTGCTTTTATCAGCTTGACCTTTCTGTTTGCCTCAGACTATTTCTGTTGCTTATTGCTAGATTGATGTATTTTACGCCGTCCAAAAATTCGCCACTGTCGTGAATTAATTGGAAGTTCCTGCGAATGCATTCTCAAATTGTTCATTCCTTACCGAATATCGCACTCACTTCCCTCGCTTTCTTCCGCTCGTGTTGCATATTTTGCGGTATTGCCTAGTTTTAACACCAGTTGACGAGTTGGAACTGCTTATTCCTCTGACTGATCATCTCTTTATTATTTCAGTTTGCAGATGGATGGCCTGAATTCTGAACTTGGTAGAATAAGAAATAAGAATTATATCGTTTGCATAAGCAGAACATTTGGCTGTATTCGCAGCTTTTCAACGCTTTTACGATAAGGCGGTGGTTACTACATTGTAGAAGGAAATATTTCTTCGAAAGCAGATCTACCAAGACGTTGTTCCTCCATGTTGGATGCTGACTGCCTGGAAAAAGTCTGCCTGTTTCGGTTCCCACATGAAAAACACGGGCGGGAGTGCAAAGGGTTTTTATTCTCAGCCAGTTTGTCTAACAGGAGTAATAGTGTAGACTATGCCGTTTTACTTTATTCGTCGAAACTAGCACTGACCTCTGTGATATTTAATGTAATTTAAAAAAAATTAATTTGAAAATTATTAATATCATTCCATAGAAGGCACATGCATTTTTCGTCTAGAAGGACGACAATAAGATATGAAGGTATGGACAATACAGCTGCGTCAAACTGTCATACTTTTCACCGAAACTGTCATACTTCCGTTCTTCAAACAGTGCGAAGGAAACTGTTTCCTCGTTGCTTCTTGTTGTTAGTCATCAAAAGCTGTGGGATTTTCTAACCGACGAGTTAACTGTTCATCACTCAAAACGGAGGCGGCACGATGAAAAGATTGTCAACCCTTTTTTTGGTTTTGGAAATCCCAGTCATTCTGGTTTGTGATTCGACTGTCTTTCTTTTTGCCCTGATGAAAGCATAACGTCCGCATTCCTCACTCTTTAGAATCAAAAGATCACTAGCTTACATTTAGGCTGGTTTATTCACCCTTTATCCGTGAGAAGAAAATAAAAGACTGAAAATTCTTGCGAAGGAAACGAAATTATACGTCGGTTATTTATTACGTTCAATTCTGTTGGTCGGTGGCATCAAAACGGAGATCAGCACTGCAGCATCTACTTCATTAGGAAATCCCTACGGCAATAAACTTTCTTTTTTAAGGCATAGAAAGCTCTGTCAAGCCATGATTATCACCGCTTCAAATGAACTGACCGTTTCAGGGTTCATAGCAATGCTTCACGGCTAAAGGGCACCGTGGCTTTGTTCTGTTGCTAAAACATTTGTAATTTACTGAGCTAGTGTTCAGTTCGGTTAAACTAGATTTCTCTAAAAGGGCACAGCATTGTTTTCATTCCTGAATCAAGGCAGTGCGAAAAATGAGAAATAGCGAAAAATGGCTTAAAAACTAAAGTTGTGAAGAAAGACCATCTAAAATCTGCTGTTTCTTGTCGTGTTTCGTGAAGCATCTGACTGTGAAAGGAATGACTGCTTTTCACATCATTCGACTGCTGCATTTGCATAAGATGTATTCTGTCAGATAAGAAGAATTCTTATTGCTTAGTGATAAGTATGGCTGCGTATGTTTATGTAAAGAATAGTTATACCGTAACGAAAGTTTCTGGGCTTGGTATCCATAACCGCTTATTCCGACGGATAAGTCGAAATAGACGGATGCTTCAGTGAGAAGCAGTCGTTTAAGCCAGTCTTGTTGAAATTCAGCAACGTCATATCAAAATCCCCAGGCCCGTGTATCTATATTCTATAGAGCAAGTGCATGGTATATGTGACATTAGTGATCAGCACGTTGCCTGAAGACTCCTGAGACATTTGTCGACACTGAGACCCAAGTATGCAACAGCTGTGGTACTACTGAACGGGATAATGCGTAACCGTACAGCTTCTGGTTTGCGCAGCTTTGCAAGTTGATAGTGCCGTTAGTAGACGTGTTCAGTTTAGTAGAATGACAAGACTGTTTTCATAAAACTGATCTCCCATTTCTTTGATACCGAAAAATGCAAGAATAATCTGATGTACACATCAAGATAAACATCCGAATCAATGTAATACGCGCCTTGGTGAAAGAATAAGCCGCAAGTGGTCGTCTGCGCAGTATATAGTCGTGCATTTACTCACTTCAAGAATGTAGACACCCTATCTTATTTTAGCAGACCACCCTTCTGAAATTAACTGTAAATAGTTTTTAAAAGTGAGGAGAACTTTGCTCAATTACACGCTTACCTGACCAACGTAAATTCTGAGCAAAGTGCTTCGTGACAATTCGTTTTATAAGGCGGGATCGCACATATGTACATCACTTAATGTCAATCAGCTTCCAGCTTAAACTTATAAGCTGTACGTTATTTAGATACAGCCAGCTGTGCAATCACCTATGTACAAACAAGAAGAGTACCACTACTTACCTCCTGAGGTGATGAGTGACCACTGCTATGGCAGGATGCCTTCCGCGGTACTCCCACCCCTGTCGCCTTCGGTTAATGCGAGAAGACAAAAGGTGACCGACGAGAATGAGCCGCCCACGTTGAACCGTAATGACGACGAATGTTTATCGTCGGTTGCCGTTGAGCCAAGTTTCCATTCCCCTCAGAACGTATCTCATTCTGATTCATTTGGCAGCTCATCGTCTGTCACCAAGACTGCGTTTCTACCGGTTGACGTGGCTTGCTCTGACCATGAGTTCGGCAGCAGCATTACCTCAGGGGTCATCGCCTCCAGTCTGCAGCATCCTATGAACTTATCCAACGGCGGCCTGTCGATCATAAACGAGAAGCTTCCAGCGAATATCCTTGAAGGTGAAGAAACAGACTTCATGGAGCAATCGGCTGACGTGGAGTTGCACTAATTATTGCATCCATCGTCCGTTGTAGTTTCAAATACGTAGTGCATTCTTCCCCGTTGTCGCTTTAATGCGTAAATGTGCGAATGTCTATATTCAGTTGTTTTGTAGGCGTTCTTTATTTCTTTATTTATTAAACACGTGTATATTTTATGTAAATGCCGTTATTTATTGTGTTAATAAATTTCAGTTCTTACTGATATTGAGTTGCTCAGCGCTCATTCTAACATCACTTCTCCGCGATAGGTGACAGAATTTTTGTCCGTTTCATGGACTACAACCTCGAATAGGGCGTTCTTCTTTCCAAGAACGTCACTGAGTTGAGACCATATGTAAACTGCTACATTTTCTGTTGTACTGCAAAATAATCCGGTCACAAAGTAAAGTTTTTCACGATTGCATACCTGGTGACAGTCTTGAAGTAGGGAACATCTCTGTCAAGGTTTTGATGGTCAAGAGTTTCCACCACTTTCTGTAAAAGGCTAATTGTACATATACAAGTACGCATGAAAATTGGTTACATCGCTACCTATAATGTCAGGCGTTCAACGGTTTGCCACATGCCGCCTAACATTACCTTAACAGATTCTCTATACTGATAGTGCATACAAAATTTCTTCGTTCTCTTCAGTATTCCCATCGTAGACAGCAGCCAGGTTAAAGTTATGGTAAGATGAAGTCTGATGTAGGGGTGTACTATCATTGGTCTTGCAAAACTGTTATAACTGCTGGAACGGTCGGCTAACGAAGCAGTCACTACCAGGATTGACAGAGCTTTTTACAGCTTTTAACGCAATTCTGTCTGTGAAAATGGTACAGTGACTACGAATATGATCCGAAAGACCAGAGACTAATCGTTTAATTCCCCAAAAAGCATGAATAAATGTTATCTTCAGAGACGACGACTTATGGTGATCCGGATTGATCCGGTCAAAAGCTGAGAAATTTGGACTAGAAACGTTACTTAAACTTCTGCGTATGAGGTAATCAGTTATGAGAAATCTGAAAACTAGCATAAAATATAACTATATCTGTATGTCCTATGCCATGTTTGCTAGCCGCTGGCGCATCTGCGGGTTCCAGATATAGAGGTGAACCGCGAAAAATAAGCATTCGTAGACAGGCAGCAGTGAGATCATGAGGGTGTGGGTTTGAACTTAACAAGTTAGACCCTTAGACAAAAAGTCAAAGTCACAATGCCTAACGATAATCTCATGTAAAGGCTAAAGCGATCCCCCCCTGAAAAAAAACGGCCAATATCATCCCTGCCTTGCGTTGGTTCGTCGAAAGTTAGAGTAGACAAATTCGATTAAAAAAACCAAATGGAACTGAAGGACCCGTCTGTACGAAATTCTCAAGGCTACCGTCAAAACAGCCAGGGAGTGACAAAACTTCATACGTTATGACAACACGAATAAAATTGCCTCATGCCTTGTATTCGACCGACAAACGGATGCTAAAAATCCCAGTTGAAATGCACCATCTCGCAAACAGACCCAGATTTCCACACTCGTTTACACCTACAATTACAGAACACTGGCGAGGGAAGAAACGTTAAACAAACTAACAGAGGTCACGAATTGTCTCCGCCAGATACGCCGGTGAAAGGAGGTAAATGGTATCCGGAATAAAGGTATATCGATTTGGCTAGGAAGAGGAGAGGATGCGAAGACCACATGACGAACGGGATCTGCATTTTGCAAAAGCTAGTCGTCAAGAACTGTCTCCTGCCATGTGAAGTCACCAAGACTGGGCATGCTGTGCCTCCAACTGAACAAGAACTAGACCTTGAAGGTTGCATCAATTTATCTTCTCACAAGTACAGCCGACGATGAGGAAGAATTCTATGAAGAATTAGAACAGGCTTTGTTCCAAAAGTTCACATATACCCTTATTATGGGAGACTTCGATGCCAAAGTCGAACAATGAAGGGTTGCTGAAACGCTCGGCGGGAGGTAAGGTAGGAAATGGAGAACAAAATGATCGAAGGGATCGGCTGGTAACCATTATAGAAACGAAACATCTGTAGATTGGCAATATCTAGTTCAAAAAAGACAAACAAGGCGTGGATATGGAAAGCGCCCTACGGGGCGAAGAAAATTGAAACCGACCGATTGAAACCGTCCTGTTCGACAAATGCCTCATCATCCGAGAAATAGCAGTAGTACCATCATTTAATACCACAATGACCACAGACTGGTGCGCGCCAGAATAACCTTAGAGAAGAAGATCGAGAGGAAGACACTGCAGATGGAAAATTGCAGACACCGACCGAAGATATTCGACGGTGGGAGATAGGGATTCCGAGAACGCATGTGCAACGAAAAATGGAACCTGAAAGACAGTTGCGAACGACTACGAGAAGATCGCCAGGAAAATGAGGCGCTGCGTAAAGTCAGCCGATGTGGCAGCATCACAGAGTGAACGTAAGGATTTCAGAAGAGGCAAAAAGTTTGCTAGAGAAGTAGAGGACGATTGAGCGAGATGGCACCAATACAATGGAGTACTCTTTTCTCTGCAAGCTGATAAGATGGAAGGTGAAGGAGGACTTCGAGACTTGACTGCAAAAATTAGAGAAAAGAGCCGAAGCCTCAGACAATATAAGAGAGAGTTGGCGGTTTATTCGTCAACCATCACCTCGTTGAAGTCCGGGAATGGCGCATTCACGTCTGGTAGAGCTGAGATGCAGAATATCTGCACCTAACTGTTCGCGTCAAAGACACGCGTCTGTCCACCAACGCTGCAATAGCCAAAACGAAGTGTACTTGCGGTCCTCGTAAGCTAAGTTCAGCCTTGCCACGCAGCAAATTAAAAAAGGTAGAGCCCCAGAAAGACATGGTCTGACAGTTGAAATCATCAGAACAGACTGTCAGAAGCAGTAGAGGGCTCTAGCGGAGAGGTTCAGCTGCTGCCTGGAAACGGAAAGATACCATCAAGCTAAAAGGAATCAAAAACAATCATGGTACTCAGGAAGAGCGAGAAGGAAGATTTTAAGAACTATCGCTCAGTGTGCCTGTTTTCACGACTCAGTGGTTTCTAGAAAAAACAAGTTTTCGTTGACCATAACCATTGAAGCGCCGGTTTATTGAAGAAATGGGAGCGAGATGAGTTTCAGAAACCGACAGACGGTAATTTACTATTGACAAAGGAACACAAATTTGGGGTTCTTAACGTTTTGGGTTTAATAAATATTTAACTGCTGGGTTTTCTACCATTTATTAGGATTTATTCGTGCAATGTAATGAATAAGCTATTTTACTGAAAGGAACAAAAATTTCCTCAAGGCCCACTTTAAGGATTAGCTACATGGAATACATCGCTCACTGTGGTTGTGGATCACAGTGGTCAAATTCACTTCCAAATTATTAGCTGATACAAATAGAGCTTTTCATTAAGCTCAATAGAATTAAAGAACATGATCAACGTCTTCCTGCATCATTCACATCAACAGGTCACCAGTTATCACAATATGCCAAAGATACTTGGCCCGGAAATCGAAAGGCAAACTGAAACACCTATAGATCAACGCGATCAGGAACGAATAAGCTGTTGTCGACGTGCACTGCGACGCATTTGCCTTTAAACACAGAAGTATCATAGAGGCTGAGGCTGTAGGTGGTAAAAGAGCCCGCTGTTTCTTAAAATCACGTTTTCAAGTTCGTTTCGGCTTCGATTCTGGATTAACAGGGCCCCTCCTTATAGATCCATCAGCGTAACCTACTCTTTGTCATAGGCTTATTTCCTAGACTAATCATTAGTCCTTTATCTGCTCAACTTTAAATATCAGACCAACCAAGGTTTTTCTGTAGTCACTGCCCGATAGAGTAATACGTTCGAAAGTTAGTATCCTGGAACTCAAAGAACGAAAGTATCGGAAATCGCTGAAAAATTATCAATTTGTCCGAAACCTTGTTGTACTGAACTCATTCTAGAACATAGGAAGGGCCTGTCATTCATTTGAAAAGTAAAGTATTCTATGAGACAGTAAAGAGTTGCCTCATATGAGGAGAGTGAAACCTTCGCTTGCTTAAATGATGCCTCCCCTAGTGAACCATATACAAGGGAATGATATTGTGTTATATCGTGATTTCTGGTTTGGAAGAGTTTAGCCCTTGTTGGTAAGTCCGGTGTGTTAACTCACATTTTTTATCATATACACATTAGGGACAACATGTCATTCAAGCACACCAGTGCAATAACCCATCCGATTGAGTGCCGTTTATTTAACTTTTGCTGGTTTCCGCCTGGACTTGCGGTACGCAAAGACATGACTATATAACCTGCGAATACTAGAATATTTTAATGTGAAGATTCGAATGTAAATGAACAGGCGCTGATTATACCTGCAAGTGAGTCTTCAATTCAGACAGATTCATAGCCATTCCGGTCAACGGATCTACAGGTGCCTTCACAGTTGCCTGTACTAAAAATTTAGAGATTAAAGCCGAAAATGGCATGAACAACATTGCAAACCTTCATAGTTATGACCATGTCCATTTGAATTGTTGCACTTTCCGAAGATTAGTTTATTTTCTTCTGCAGACAAGTGATCGCTGAAATATAAAAGCAGATATACAGCAGAAAAGAAAGATTTCCCATAGCTAAGACATGCAAAAATGGAAATTAGTATAATTTATGTTCAGATCTGAAGAAAACCGACTAAACACTCAGAAAAAGTCAAAAAATAGATCAACACTGTTGTGTACGAAGAACAACCGACTTTGGTCACTACTGCACCTTAGAGAGGATACTGCAAGTGAGATTCAGCGAGTCACGCGTGATGCCCTCGTCGTGGAAAACACTCACACGGATAAATTTCCTCAAATAGCACAAAAAGAAGTATGAATAAATATATTCTCCTAAGCGGCTGGGAGAGCTGTAATGGACTTTGCTGAAAAGAGACAAGATTTAACTGAAGACATTATACGAGCAGGGTATGCCAGATCTTGCTAATTTAAGGCATATGCGAAAGTTCGAAGCATGCTGACGCAACTGAATACACAATATCTGAAGTTTAATTTCGACTGGCACGTCAGGAAATGTGGTCTTAGTGCACCAATATTCAGAATTTTAAAGCATATATTTAAAGAGACTTACTACATATTGGACATCTAAGACTGAAGTCTATCCTTCATGAC